TTTTTATTTCTACTTAATTTAATTTTACATTTTTATCAATACCTTAAAATAAATGGATAATTTTTCGGCTTATTTGTATTATTTTACATTTTTTTTTTTTTTGACATTTTTACCTTAAAAACAATGGTTAGATTTTCCTACTTAACTTAATTCTACATTTTTTTATGTACCTTAAAATAAATGGTTAATTTGTCTGTTTAATTGTTTTACATTTGGTTTTTGTTGACATTTTTGTCTTAAGAGTAATGGTTAGTTTTTCCTAATTAACTTAATTTTACATTTTGATATGTACCTTAAAATAAATGGTTAATTTGTCTGTTTAATTGTTTTACATTTTGTTTTTGTTGACATTTTTGTCTTAAGAATAGTGGTTAGTTTTCTAACTTAATCCTATTTTACACATTTTTTTTTTTATATATATATCTTAAAACTAATTCCTTGTTTTATCTTAAATTCTATTGTAAGTACAACCCTCCCTCCCAAAAAAAAAAATATATATAAACCTATTGTTAGATTGATTCTATGTTATCCTGAACTTGAAGTTGGTTGCTCTGAGCATTGTATTCTACTTTCACAGTGTCTATTGGTTTATTTTTATTTTTTGTTTTGAGTGATTTTATTATTTTGAATAGGATAATTCCGGTTAACATTAGTGCTACCGTTGACAATCCTGCAGAATGTACCATTTTTATGTTATCATTTGATTTTGAGCTTAATTCATTTGTTATTTGTTCATCTATGGCTGACATTGATTTTGCATATAGTTTTAAATCACTAAACTTGACCGCCGTATTAAGGCTAATTTTGTTCTCATTAACCAAAGGCTTTTGTCGTTTTATTATATAAGATTATAGTGTTCAGTTAATATAGATAAGTGAAATTGTGGTACATAGTCTTTGGAAAAATTGCTTTTTCCCTGATATTTTGCTAATATAATAGTGTTTTTTGTGAAAGCTTTACAATTTGGTTTTAGAGTTAATATTCCAGATTTGTTTATTTCTATATTCTCTACTTCGTCCTGACAACTTACGATTAACTCAACGGGTTCGTGGGTTGCGTAAAGCCAACGATTACTATTTCCTAATTGGTGCCATATGTCATTAAATATTGGTACAGTTTTTATCTCACAATTTTCCGGCATATTGTTTTCTTTTGTAAATAATTGAAATTCACAGCTTGATTTAATATTGTTCAATAGTGGCATATTTGATTCACAAATTAATTTTTGTCTGGTTGTCTGACATAATATGTTAATATTAATATATTATATTAATTTGATTTTGGGTAAAATATAAGTAAGACTGTTTACTTTTTTCTACTGCTAGAAATTCTTGTGCAGATTGAATAAAAACGAAATCGTTTTTATTTACATTGACCGGTAAACTTATGATATGATACAGATTAAAGGGTATGTTTTCTATAAGTGGTATATTAATTACAAATATTATTAGATGATTGGCATAGAAAATATTTATATTGATTAATTTCATGAAGTCAAAATAGCTTTTAGCGTTTATTTCTACTGGTAAGTTTAAATTTGATGGTAAATTTGCTTTGATATCTTTGAGCTGTGTCAATAACTCACTTGGTTTAATTATTTGGGGATTGACCTGTCCTTTGTGTGCATTTGTTATAATGTTTAATAATAAGGTGGTGTCTTTTGAGTATTGATTTAATAGTTCAGTATAGAGTGAATTATATAATAATATCGATTCTACTATATTAAGATTCTTAGTTCATCTTTTTATGTTTTTAATTCATTATTTAATTTATTTATATTACTATCTATGCTATCTTTAATTTTGGTGTAACTTGAAGCAATTTTATCAACTGATTTTAATGAGCTTTTGAATATTTTGATTTGTTCTTTTTGAATCGTTAAGGTTTTCATTTGTTTTTCTTCAAGTGTTTTAATTTTGTCCTCAAATATCTCTCCTTCCTCTTCTGTTAATACTCCAAATAAAATCCGTTGCAATTTACCAATTCCCCCAAAAAATGAACTTCGTTTCCTTCGTTGTTTAGCTATATTGACGTTGGTTTCTTCAATTTCCAGGTATTGTTGAACTATTTCGTGTTCTTCGTTTATTTTGTTTAATGTTTGAAAATTAATTTTTTGTAAGTCCATGCAAGTTTCGGTTAATTTTTCATAACTGGACTGGTATTTATCACAAAGGTTTTTTAAATTAATATAATATGAGTTAATCGCTGCATAATTTTGTTCATAATCAGATATATTGTAATAGGTTACTAGGTTCCACTGCGAGACCGTAGCCAGTGTATCCAATACGTGAATACGTGAATAAAATGCAAACACTATATTTTAGTTTATTATCTATTTATACATTCATTTAAAAGTAAACACTGACCATGTTCTTGTTCTGTCGTTACTTGTTCTATGTGAGTATGCGACTGTTAGTTGTTACACACAACACACTTACAAAGTTACACGTTTACACTTGCACTGTATTAAACATGCAGGAATAAGCATGATTAATATTGTCGTTGTTTATTCCCTCGTTTTAAAATTAATTGTCAGTTTTCACTTATCAGTGTTATTAGTGTTATTACGTCTTATTGCAATTCATATGAATTATATTATTTATATAAATATATTTTTTTTTAATTATTTTATAATAATATAAGTCAATATAACAAAGATGAAACCAAAAGTAATAAAAAATAAATGCTACATAAAACATGGTGACAAGTATTTATGTAAATATTGTAACAAGCCATACAAGGAAAATGTCACCAGAATGGCAATACATATAAAAAAAGAATGTACATAAGTACCAAAGTATATATTAGACAAATTTTCTTCAACGAATATGTCAAGTTTTTGTAGGTAGTTCATACATTTTATATACCTATTACCTATTAAGTAACAAGTAATAAATAATAATTAATAATTAATAACTAATATTTTCAACTAATCTTAAAATATTAACTATTAATTACTGTTATATTTATAAGGTACTTATATTGAAAAGTCTAATGAGGAAAACTTAAATACTAGCTGTATTTCAACCACTTCGACATGCAAATTGACACCAACTGAAGTTGAAACCAAAAACACTAAAGAGCCTTGCCAAAAAAGTGTATTAAAGTTTCTTGATACCATGAGCACTGAAGAAAAGGTAAAATAGTTAATTAATTTTATTTATGTCTATAAATTAATGGAAGAATGATTTGATAAGTACTCTTCACACATTACTAGTATTAATGATACTACAATAAAACTATTTGTGGCTTAAAACATAGAAAGTAATAGGTTAAAGTACTTCAAATTTGTTATTTTGATGATAGGAATTATATTATTAATTTAAAATCAACTAACTAAATTAATTTCGGGGAATACAGTGTATTTCTTTAATGAATATGGCAATATATAATTTATAGATTTTGAAGTATGAACATTTTTTATAAATTTGAAATTACTTTATTTTAGACACGTATGGACGAGTTAATGGCAAGAGCTATATTTTCATCTACTACACCATTTTCAATTGTAGAAAACACTCATTGGCTTAACTTTTTTAAGGCTCTAAGGCCAAGTTACACACCACCTTCACGTTATGTGTTATCCAAAAGACTTTTGAATAATGAGTATGAAAGAATTAGTTTTGATGTCAACAATCAGATTAAAAACAGTAAGGTTTATGGTATTCAAATTGATGGTTGGAGTAATATAAGGTTAGCATCAAAAAACTGCATAATGGTGTAAAACACTAAAACTATAACATCAATAACTGATTTATGTTGAAATTAATTTTGATTTTATTATTCATCTACAATTTACATTATTTTACCCTGTCTGACTTTGATACAAAACTAAAAAAAAATGTAGTTGCTTGTTTGACATAATCTTCAAAACATTTTAATGTTAAGTTAATAACTGATTATCTAATGAAACTAATTTATAATAATTAGCGTTAATAACTTTTAGGTATATATTTTTTTTTACATATTTCTTTATTTAAATAAACACATTGTTATATTATTATTAATGTATAGGTATCAGTATCTAATATATAATTTAAAATAAGAATCATATTACATGTTTCAGAAATGAGTCCATAATGAATATTATAGTTACTACACCAAAACCATTTGTATTTAAAACAATAGATTGTAACACAGAACGTCATACAGGAGAATATATTGCTACTGAATTGGGTAAAGTGATTGATGATTTGGATAGAAATAAATGTCTTGGAGTTGTTACAGATAATGCATCGTCCATGAAAAAAACATGGATACTTTTACAAAAAGATGACCGTTACAAAAATTTACCAATTGCATTTTATCCATGTATTTGCCATACTTTAAATCTATTGATAGCTGATATAATTAAATTAAAATCATGTATGGATATTGAAAAAAAATCTAAAAACATTGTCAAAAATATTATTAGCAGTCATATTCTTAAAGGTAATGTATATAACAATAAATTACATAAATATGATTGTATTATAGTAGCTATTTAAAATAATACTCTGTACCTAATGTAGTAATGTATTATTATATGACTTCCTAATAGCTAACTTTACAAACATTCAAAAAGCAAAAAAAATTGATTGTTCTTTAAAACTACCAGTTAAAACAAGATGGGGATCACTTTGTATATGCTTAAGGAGTCTTCATAAAAATAAAAATATACTACAACAGTTAGCTGTTTCTGAAGATTTAAATGTAAGTGATATAGATATAATAATTGTACTTGTACATGTACAAAAAAATGATAAAAATATAAAATTAACAAGAAACATTATTGATCAAATGATTTTACAGGTGATTGAAAAACTTGATAAAAGTGTAAAACATAACATTTTGTCAGATGAATTCTGGGAGCTAGTAGAAAGTATTATTACTTTAATTAATCTACTAATCACTAAAAAATTAGTGTTATCACTTTGGATTACAAAATTAGAATCTGATATACCAAGGTTGTCTGAGGTTCCGGCTGCTTTAAATGATTTTTAAAAAGTTTTACATTACAAATGTCTACTTCTCCTTTACTCTTAGAAGAACAAAATATTTTAAATGAAGCCTTTGATAAACGTTTTGATATGGCTATTCATCCAATTCATTATGCAGCTAACGTCTTAGACCCGAAATATCAAGGGAAAGATTTACCTCAAGGATGTGATATAGAGGGCATTGTTTACATTCAAAAAGTTGCTCATAAATTGCTAACATCAGTTGAATATAAAAAGGTATATATGAACAATTGTGTTTTTTCATCAAATAACCATTTCATACATGTCACTGTTTCATTATTAAGTACCATTGTATTTAATTAGATAAATTATACAACTAATGCTATCAATAAGATCACATTAAAATATTATTGATTTGTAACCTAAATTATTTAAAATTATTTTGATTAACTTCCTAATAATTAACTTTGTTGATTTAATATTTTTGTTTAGTTAATTTTTATTTTATTTCACAGATAATAATTGAACTTGCTGAGTATCGTTCTCATGAAGGATTATGGGCCAAAGATATTTTATGGAACAATATTGATGGTATAGAAGCACGTATCTGGTGGAATGGCCTTTGTTCAAACACAAGTCTTTCAAAAGTAGCATCTGCTATTCTTTCCTTGCCTGCATCCTCAGCAGCTACAGAACGCTCTTTTAGCTCTTATTCACTTATCCATACTAAAAGAAGAAATCTCCTAACAAATTTAACAGCAAAAAAGTTACTATTTATTTATGAACATATAAATAATCAAGACCTGGAAGTATCAAAATCAGTAAAAAGTTTCCAAACAAACCAAGAATCATTAACCACTAACAATGATGATGAAGAGCCTTCCTGTAGTTATCAGGTTTGTAGTTCTAGCAGTGAAAATGAGGAAGAAGATTACAATACTGATGAAATATTAGAGTCTGAAGGTGATCAGTTTGGAGAAACAGATTCAAGTGACGATGATTTTTTTAATTCCATTCAACATACATTTGCTTAGTTGAATTAATATGTTCTGAATTTTGATTCAATTTTTAACTATTATTATGTATTGCTGTATTATTCAGTATTCTACAGACAGTTTTGTTATGTGTTTAAGTTTTATTGTTTTATAAAATATATTTTATTTTTTTTGTTGTTTTATGTTTATTATAAACTATACATTTTTAGTTTTATTGTGATAAATGTAATTTTATCAAAAACATAGTTATGTAAGTTATGTTAAATGTTTAATATAAGTTTCATGATTTATTTTACTTACTTTTTTCAGTTCTAAATGAAATAAGTAATAGTTTTTTTTCCAAAGACTCAAAAATCCATTTAAAATTCTAGATATAGAGTATAGACTAATATACATTACTCAATAGTCATATAGGAATAGGTTAGATAGACTGTTAGGTAAAAAAGGAAAATAAATATTCTTCCAACATTTAAACAGTTTATAAAAACTTGAAGAAGGTAAGAAATTTAGTATTTAAGCTTTATTTGATAAATTGAAAAAAATTACACCTACATTTTTTTTTTCCAAAATTTACCAATTTACTGAATTTTACTGAATTTTACGTAAATTTTACCGTTAAATTTACCGAAAATTTTTTACCAGTAAATTCCACATCTCTACCATGGAGTAAATAAAAAGGGCTAAATTTTAATCTTGAGCTCGGGCATGTGTTGTAAGTGAAAATTACCATTTTGTAGTATAATGACCAATCTTTTTGATTTTCATTTACGTAATGTGATAGGCTATTGCAAATAGCATATGTACAACACTTGGCTTGGCTCGAATTCCTTGGATGTTAACGACGACTTTCCTCTTCGACTGAGCTTGTGGAATCGACGTTCGCTAGTCCCGAAACTGCTGGCGTAGGAACCACAACACCATGTAGTGGGTTTCACTGCTTTCCACGACTTGTCATTAATAAACAACGGTCGCGTATTTATTTTGATAACGTTTATCACGTATTCGAACCGCTAACGCGAGTCGTGTTGTTTATTTACACTTCGCGGCGGCGCTGATTACGAAGGTCGTGTACTGGCAAGGTTTATAGATAATAGAGGTTGCCTCATACCGGAATTATGTTAAAAATAGAAGTAGAGGAAATCGTACAATGACGTCAGCCCTCGTACAAAATTGTTTGTTTATCATAGCGATAGCACTAATGTTAATTGTTATTTGTTAATACTTAATACATTTATGGTTGATTTACATTGTGACTGTGTTTATTACTTAACTATCATCTAAACTATTTTGTTTTAATGGCAATTCCAAAATCAAAAGGCGGTTCATGTTGTGCCGTTGCCCCATGCAAAAATTATTCAGGCAAAGCCAAAAATACTGGTAGAACCGATTTGTCTTTTCACAGGTATGTTATAATTTTTTTTTAACTACATATTAATCAATGTTAAATTATACATACCTACCTATATATTATAGTTTTTATATATAACCTAAGTTTATTTTAATTTAAAAGGTTTCCAAAGGATGATTTGCTCCTTAAAGTTTGGTCGAATAAATGTAGGAGAAATGATGTATTTAATCCTAGTAAATCATTTATATGTTCTGATCACTTTAAGGAAGATGATTATGTTAGAGATTTAAATCTGAACTGTTGGGGTATGCTCCAAGAGTCAAAATTTTAAAAACTAATGCTACACCATCACTTAATTTACCTGATGGTCATGACAAGTGTGTTTCAGAATCTGGTATTCAGCGTCAAAAACGAAGAGAAACTAAATTATTTAGACAGGTGAATATTGTTAAACATAATTGGTTGCTTTTATTTTAAGTATACAATCTGTATCTGTAGGAAGGTACTATAAGAGTACGAACTACAAACATTACAATGAAACTATATAATTAATGTATTATGTAGTACTATGTCATGTTTATATTTCCTAACTTATATTCTTTGCCTTAAGTCATCATCACGTTACAGACTTGTATCTTTATTCATTTTTTTACTTATATAATGATATTATTTATTTTTTTATTTTAGGCGCATGATGAGATGATGAGACTATCACTTTGACTCTAAATGATAATGTACCATCTTCTACTACTCAACATTCAGAATGTGACCTAGAGCCAACTCAATCATTGGGCTTGTCACAATCTCAAGATTATGAACATCTTTACAATAAACTACTTCTAGAACACAAAAAACTGATGACCATTACAAAATCTGAAGTTGACTACAAAAAAATTAACGAAAATCTATGGTTTCAAGTCAGGGATTTAGAGAAAAATTTAAAAGTGACAAATTTACTTTTAAAAAATACAGAAAAAAATAATGCAAGACAAATACAATTGTTAACAAAAAATAAAACCCGAGACATTAATATACAAGCCAGAAAATATTTGTCATCAATATTCTCCAAAAATCAGTTGGACTTGATTATGAAGAAAAAACAACGTGTTCACTGGTCAAGAGATGAAATTTCAAAGGCATTTTCACTTAGATATTTTAGCAAACGTGCCTATGTTTATGTCAAGGATGAACTGAAATATCATCTCTCTAGTAAATAATATTAAATAATTTATGTACTACATTTAATTTTTAATTTTTTCACAAATATCTTAAAATAATTTATTATCTACTCCATTCCAAATTCTAAATAATTATAATTAAACTAACTAAATGATTTCTTACACATTTTAATAAATATTTTATGATTATAGGATTTTCATCTCTTCAACGATGGGCGAAAAGCATGAATAAGAAAAGGTGTTCTTGAAGATGTTCTTAATATAATGAAATTGAATGGAGATGGCTTGCAAGACTATCAAAGATTAACAATTTTAATGTTTGATGAAGTTAAAGTGTCTAGTGTCAAGGAGTATGATGTCCTTCATGATGAAGTTGTTGGGCCTCATAACCAAATGCAGGTGATTATGGCTCGAGGACTAGCATCTCAATGGAAACAGCCAATTTATGTAGACTTTGATAAAAAAATGACTAAAGAGATTCTTTTTAATATTATTGAAAAGCTTGATCAAACTGGTTTTAAAACAATTTGCTGTGTAAGTGACTGTGGTGGAGGTATTGTTGGTTTATGGAGATCCTTGGACATTTCTTATGAAAATCCTGTATTTTCTATTCCAAATGGAAGAGAAATAATATATGTACCTGACGCACCACACATTTTAAAACTTATTCGAAACTGGTTGTTAGATACTGGATTTCAGTATAATGATACAATTATAAATAAAAAACCACTTGAATCTTTAACTAATACAACATCAACTGAGCTCAGTATTCGTCACAAACTGTCTGCCGATCATTTAACTTGTGAAGGCCCTCAACGACAAAAAGTTAGATTAGCTTCGCAATTATTGTCCCACACAACTTCAACAGCACTTCTGCACTGTCACAACAAACTCAAAGAAGATACAAGATTTATTGAAAATGTAGCTAATTTTATTGAATTAGTTAATAATTGGTTTGACCTAGTGAATGTATCTCATCCAAATGATAACCGTACACCATATAAACAACCATATGGTAATAATATAGAAAAACAAAATCTACTACTTGATAAAATGTATGATACATTTTTGAATATGAGGTGTATTGGAAAAATTGGCCTCCAGATTTTACAAAAGGCTATTCTAATGCACATTAATGGGACAAAAGCACTGTTAAAAGTTTTACAGCAAAACGGGTTGAAGTATCTTTTAACTAGTAAAATAAACCAAGATGCATTAGAAAATTAATTTTCCCAGCTTCGTTCAAGAGGGGGACTAAATGACCATCTGTCTCCTTTAAACGCATTGTTTAGAATACGTTTAATGATATTGGGAAAAAATCCAGGCATAGTTTCAAATCAGTTAAACACTGCTGATAAAAATGATGAAGAGTTTATGGTAGCAAAAACATTGCGGAAAATTGATATGAAAATAAATAATGTAAAAGAAAATTCAGAAGATGCTGAAAGTTTAACAGATACATCAAGTGAAAATGAATCATCAAACGATGTTGATGAAAATCAACATGATTTGGAACTGGATGCGACGGAATACCTAGCTGGTTGGGTTGCCAAAAAGTACAAGCTGCAATTTCCAGAACTTGGTTCAACCACAACAACCAGTGCATTTTTTAAGCTAGTAAACTGGGCGACACAAATGTCGCCCAGTAAAGATTATTTGTCGCCTAGTTGACTGTATTTTTAAAGACTGGGTGACACTCAATTTATTAAAGAAGAATTGTTATTCTATGTAAAAACATACTGTGGGTAGGTCTAGGTACAGATTATAACAATGGTAATAATATTATCAATATTAAAGACAAAATGATTTTATTATTGTAGAATATGGTAAAATAAATTATAATACTATTTTAACAATAAGCGTGAAATTCCAAAAATGTGTAAAAATAGCCACCAATAACGATTCACGATACGACTGCGGTCTACGACGCGCGACAGACGACGGTTCACGGTATTGTCAATAATATTAATTTATAGTTATTTAACATTTGCCTTGCATTGTGACGACTGACGACGTCCGTAGATCGTGGCTGCATGGCAATAATACACATTTTTATCAATTATTAACTAAAATCAAGACATGCGATAACTGGTAAGTACCTTAATGTCCTTAATAACAGTTATAGATTAAGAGATGAATAAAACTAGCAGAAATAAAATAAAATAAAATATTGAATAGTAAATTGGATGATTTTGATTGCCAAGGCCCTAGAGTAGTAGAGCAGCGGTTCTCAAACTTTTTTGTTCGCGGAGTCCTTAGGTTCCTAAAAAAATTATTTTTTTGAAAATAAATTATTATTGACCAGTATTTTAATATTTGGCTTGATGGACNATTATTTTCTTATCTAACATTTCTAAGAATCGAATGTCGCCCTAATGGCCTAATAGTTTCTTTGAACGAGTAATTATATATTTACGCACGCGCAGGTGTATGTCAAGAAAACGATTTGATCGAATTTACGCCACGCTAATAAAATGTCAAAAATGCTAAAAAGCTAGACAAAATTGGGAGACTTGGGACTGACGAATTTTAATTTAAATTAGTCCCCATGTTACCTAGGGAATGACCGAAGGAATTTTCTATATTTTAATTAAGCAATAAGTTATTGACAATTTAAGAAAACAATAATTTATTTATTTTATGTTTCCTTCATATGTGGTCTTAAAAAACTCATCTCTTCATCAAATAACCATTTCATACATGTCACTGTTTCATTATTAAGTACCATTGTATTTAATTAGATAAATTATACAACGAATGCTATCAATAAGATCACATTAAAATATTATTGATTTGTAACCTAAATTATTTAAAATTATTTTGATTAACTTCCTAATAATTAACTTTGTTGATTTAATATTTTTGTTTAGTTAATTTTTATTTTATTTCACAGATAATAATTGAACTTGCTGAGTATCGTTCTCATGAAGGATTATGGGCCAAAGATATTTTATGGAACAATATTGATGGTATAGCAGCACGTATCTGGTGGAATGGCCTTTGTTCAAACACAAGTCTTTCAAAAGTAGCATCTGCTATTCTTTCCTTGCCTGCATCCTCAGCAGCTACAGAACGCTCTTTTAGCTCTTATTCACTTATCCATACTAAAAGAAGAAATCTCCTAACAAATTTAACAGCAAAAAAGTTACTATTTATTTATGAACATATAAATAATCAAGACCTGGAAGTATCAAAATCAGTAAAAAGTTTCCAAACAAACCAAGAATCATTAACCACTAACAATGATGATGAAGAGCCTTCCTGTAGTTATCAGGTTTGTAGTTCTAGCAGTGAAAATGAGGAAGAAGATTACAATACTGATGAAATATTAGAGTCTGAAGGTGATCAGTTTGGAGAAACAGATTCAAGTGACGATGATTTTTTTAATTCCATTCAACATACATTTGCTTAGTTGAATTAATATGTTCTGAATTTTGATTCAATTTTTAACTATTATTATGTATTGCTGTATTATTCAGTATTCTACAGACAGTTTTGTTATGTGTTTAAGTTTTATTGTTTTATAAAATATATTTTATTTTTTTTGTTGTTTTATGTTTATTATAAACTATACATTTTTAGTTTTATTGTGATAAATGTAATTTTATCAAAAACATAGTTATGTAAGTTATGTTAAATGTTTAATATAAGTTTCATGATTTATTTTACTTACTTTTTTCAGTTCTAAATGAAATAAGTAATAGTTTTTTTTCCAAAGACTCAAAAATCCATTTAAAATTCTAGATATAGAGTATGGACCAATATTCATTACTCAATAGTCATATAGGAATAGGTTAGATAGACTGTTAGGTAAAAAAGGAAAATAAATATTCTTCCAACATTTAAACAGTTTATAAGAAGTTGAAGAAGGTAAGAAATTTAGTATTTAAGGTTTATTTGATAAATTGAAAAAAATTACACCTACATTTTTTTTTCCAAAATTTACCTATTTACTGAATTTTACGGAATTTTACGTAAATTTTACCGGTAAATTTACCGAAAATTTTTTACCAGTAAATTCCACATCTCTATCTGTAATGGTGTAATTCACATATGTAAGGACCGACCATGACAGACACGGACCGTACCGACAAGACATCCTCGCCAAGAATGTTTTGTCGTGTCGGGTCGCTGCCTGTCAACGTCTGTCGGTACAATGTGAATTCAAAAAAAATTATCCGTCAATTGATGTCAATTTGTTTTCGGATGCCACAGGACCCACAATATACTTTCAAATTTTTGTAGTAACCTAACCTAACCTAACCTAACCTAACCTAACCTAACCTAACCTGTAGTTAGGTTTGTAAGTTTAACGTATTTATTTAATTAAAAGATGAAGGCTTCAACAGCGAAGGTTATTAGGCTGTCAATATTTTATATAATACTGATGTTTCTTAAAATTAGGTTATACATTTAGGAGAAAATAATGACTAAACATTTTTGTATTTGAATTTACAGTTTTTTAATAATATTAGTAACATTTAAAAATTCTATGATTTTTGAGGTTTGATGTTCGTCAAGTGCTTCAGCAAAGTTAGGTGGCATGTTTAGGGTAAGTATGCATTCCTCCACTATATGTTTGATGGTGAGTATTTGGTTGCATGTGTCGCATCTTTGTTTGGGCTCTTTGCTAATTAGATATGAGTGTGTGAGATAGGAATGTCCAATTCTGATGCGGGTAATTGCGATGCCTTGATGTCTGTTAAAATGAGTGTTAAAGTATTATTGTTTCATATAATACGTGTGTATACATTAGTTTGTATAAATGGTCAAATAGAATAAGGGAAAATGACTTATAAGCTATGTATATGTTATTAGCAAAGTAGTAAATCCAGGCATTGTATAACAATGTCCAGTCACTGTGTACAATGCCTGAACATTTTGACCAATGTAAGAATGATCATTTTAATACTCAAATTTGTCATGCATTGACCTGGCATTGTTCTAGATCAGGGGTCTCCAAACTTTTTTATTGAAGGGCCACAAAAAATATCAAATGCTCTTTGCGGGCCAAAAGTTTATTAACACATATAATTTTTAATTTTATGAAAATATAGGTATACAAATATAAGTTAACTTTAAATCTTTTTATAAAATATTGTCTACAATGTAGACTCTACATTGTAGAATTGGTATAAATTTAAATGATAATAATAATTAATAATATATACATTGTAATTTTAATAACTTTTTTTTAATGAGAAGTATGAAATTGATGTTTTTCTGCTAATATTCGATCGAATTGAGGTTGTATGTTGCTAGTTCCAATTTTCAAAATTGACTCCAAGTGTTTGTCAGTCATGGCCGATCTATATTTCGATTTGATGTATTTCATTTTAGAAAAAGTTTGTTCGCACAAATAAGTCGTAGCAAATACAGATATATATTCAATTGCAAATTTTTTTAAATTTGGATACTGTATATCTGGGAGAAATTTATAAAAATCAACTAAAGTCTCTTCACGATGTTTGATTTTCAGTGCATCATTACTTTGTAAATCAATCATTTCCATTTGAAGGGTAGGAGGTAACTTCTCAATATCACAACTAAACGGGTTTTGAAAAATATTTATTTCTTCCTATTTTACGTCAAGGTCAGAAAAACGTTGTTTAAATTGGATTTTAAGTTCAGAAATTATTTTTTGAGCGAAGTCGACTGGAAATTGTGTTTTTGATTCTTTGTTATATTTATCACAAGTAGAAAAATGAATATAACAATTTTTTGAAATTTGCTTTTCAAATAAAATAAGTTTTTGCCTAAATGCTTTTACTAATGTGTAAACATCGCAAATTAGAACATCTTTACCTTGTAATTTTAGGTTGAAGTCGTTCATTTATTTTGTGATATCCACTAAAAAAGCTAATTTCCAAACCCATTCACTATCTGTAAGTAAAGGCAATGGTCGATTCTTATCAATTAGAAATATTTCAATTTCATTTCTTAGTTCAAAAAATCGCGATAGAACTTTTCCGCGACTAAGCCATCGAACTGCTGTAAAATACGGTATATCTGGGTACTCTGTTTCTATTTCTTTCAGAAAATCTTGAAACTAACGATGCCTAAGTGCGCTCGAGCGAATAAAATTTACTGTTGATATTATTGGATCCATAACACAAGACAAGTCTAAAGTTTTTCCGCATAATGCCTGCTGATGTATAATACAATGCAAAGTCATTGGTTTAAAACCTTTTTTTTCACAATTCGTAAATATCTGTCCAATCAAACCTTTTTTTGTGCCACACATATTTCTTCCGCCATCAGTAGTGATACATTTCAAATTTTCCCACTTCAAATTATATTCTAAAAATGATTTTTCGATAACTTTAAATATGTCGATACCTGTCGTAGTATCATGCATGCTATGTACAGAAAGTAGTTCATTTGAAATTTCTAAATCTTTATTAACACCTCGAATAAATAAAAGTAACTGTGACGTATCAGATACATCTGTTGATTCGTCAAGTGCTATACTAAACGAAATGAATTCTTGAGTCTTATTACTAACCTGAGAATTTAAATTATTACTAATATCGTCAATTCTACGGGTAACTGTGTTAGCAGAAAGGCTAATATTTTTAAAAGTATCAATTCTTTCTGGACAAATTTCTTCAACTGCTTGAATTATACATTCTTTTATTAAACTACCATCAGAAAACGCTTTTCCTCTTTTTGCCAATAGATGTGAAATACGAAAACTAGCCTTTGTAGCAGCTTCATTAATATTTTTTTGTTTTTTAAATAATAATTGTTGTGATGAAAAATTATTTTGAAGTGACTGCAATTTATCTAACCGTAATTTCTCAGTAAATTTTGAAAAAGTTGTCTTATGTTTCGTTTCATAATGCCTTCGAATATTGTACTCCTTAAGTACAGAAATACTTTCTTTGCATATTAAACAAATTATTTTGTCACCTGAATAAATTACGAAATAATCCAACTACCACTTTTCATTGAAAACACGACATTCTGAATCTATTTTCCTTTTCAATCCTCTTCCTGACATGTCGAATTGGTGAATTAATAGGTAAAGAATAATATTTATAATAAAGGCACTGCAAACTTAGACATGTAACTGTACAAACACTACAAACGTTATGAAATGATTTCGTCGTACCGCTCGTCTATGTGACTAATCTCTCCGTTATCGACGTTAAAACTAAAAATATAAAAGGAAATTGCAATGTCTGTCGTCATAAATTATGATACGTGCCCGCGATAACGACTTTTTAAATTACACATATATAGATATCTATATTTTATATTTATATCTATATTTCTATATTACCGTCTTATGGGTGCTGCGGGCCGTTTAAAACTTGTTCGCGGGCCGTATCCGGCCCGCGGGCCGTAGTTTGGAGACCCTTGTTCTAGATTGCCTGGGCAAAGTGTACCCCGCTCAGATTCAAGTGGACAAAGTGAATTCAATACAGTTTTATATGAAATTGCATTTATGACATGCAAGTCCAACTTGATGGCGATTACAAGTTCATAATGGTCTATCAAGATCACCTGGCAAAGTTTGTAATTCTTAGACTATTAACTCATAAAGAGGCTGAAGAAATAGCCTACGTGTTAATTTATATTTTTACAGCATTTGGAGAACTGGCAATTTTGCAAAGTGATAATGGTAAGGAATTTGCCAAAAATGTTATTATTTAGTTGTGTAGTATGTGGGAAGAACTTAAGATTGTCCGTGGAAAGCTTCGACACTCACAAAGTCAAGGATCTGTTTATAGGGCCAATCAAGATATTCAAAATATACTCGCAACATGGTTAGCCGATAATAATTCCAGAAAGTTAAGGTCTTAAATTCGTTCAATTTATGAAGAATCAGAGTTTTCATCATGGTGCAAAATGTTTATCATACGAAGCTATGTTTGGAACACATGCTAAAGTTGGCTTCAAATTAACCCAAACTATAACCGATTTAATTTCTACTTAGAAATCAGAAGAAGAATTAGAAAAAAGTCTTTAGGCTGTGTAGTTGATAACGAAAACATAAATGAGAAACACGAAAAAAGTGATGGAAGTAATAAGGAACAAAACAACTTTTTTCTGACGAAGTTGAAAATAATCAAATAATATTTCGAATAGAATCAATTTTTTAAATCGATCAAATGCTGCTGAAAATCTTAAAATACAATCTAAAAAAATGAAGTAAATGTCTGAAGAACGTTTTTTGTTCCAGGAAAAGGAGAAAATGTAAAAATAAAAATTCCTGATGTGAATCGAGCAAGATATGATCTTCGGGGTACTCTGGCCTCTGGGAGTTAAACTCTCTGGTAATTAATCTTAAAATTATAAAATAATTTTTAAACCAATAATTTTGTTTAAGTAAAAGATAATTTATATGAAATTGGAACAAAAGAGGGCTGACTGCATCAACTCTGCAGTCGGAACCAATTCAAAATA